AGTGATGTGTTTAGAAAAAAGGTAAAAGTAAGAGCTCTGTACGGTTGTCAAGTTTACCTGTGTTACAAAACTCTTCCAATATTTTCTTTGGATCCGTCTGACTTCCTGTAACCTTTGTGTTGGTGTGTGACACTTGTATTGTAAATATTTATGTTTTTCATTAAAAACGATTGACTTTGACTTTTCTTTTTGTAAATTTATTCTGTTTTCAAACGTACTTTCAGTTTTGCGATTTAATTAAAATCATCAATGAAAGCTTTCTTCACTGTTTTGTATTTTGAAACAATAGGATGAAGAGCTTCTATTAAATTCATTAATATGGTGTCGTGTAATTTGAAGGTAAGAATTATAAAAAAGGAATCATTTATGACTTGTTAACAAAATAACGCTTTTAAAAATGTATGGACTTTTTAATGGGTATACTTTTTCTATTATTCCTGGTCGTACAGATTTTTTGGTTTCTAACTTATTTATGTTTTAAATAAAAAAACATTTGTCTATAAATGAATAGGCCCAACACGACCAGGTAATTAATCTATTATGGCCAGAGCTCTGCAAGAGCTAAAAACTATGTGTCTTTTAATTGTGAAGACGATGAAAGGGATATCAGAGTGCTGCGTTCTTTCCTTTATTTTAAAAGCTCTGGTACATTTTAAATAACGTGTTTTCATATAAAAATTTTGATCTTAGAAAAACTCAAGTTTTTCTTGAGGAGAAAAACGAGGCCTTAATGAGACTTACCACAGGCCTGGCGCTGTAGGCTTCTAGAATGTATTTCTTTGTTTAATACACAATGTTTAAGAAAAGAAATGATTACGTATCCCTAAAATAAAAATAAGCAAAAACCTAGTTCAACAGCTTTCTCCCTCAAAATGACCATTTATTGTAAAAAAGAAAGAAAAGAAAAGGCAGCGTTTTGATGTTTGTTCAGTCAAGAAAAGGCACCTTTTCTCCGTCCAGTTTTTAAGTCAAATGTTGTACTTTTGTAAAATCCATTTACGTTGGCATCTAAATAAAAATAATAACACACAGTCTGTTGAAAGGGAAGATTTGATTTACTGTTTTTTATTTCAAAGAGAGAAAAAGAGAGATGGGGCAGAGAGAGAGAGAGAAAGAGAGAGAGAGCGAGAGAGAGAGAGAGAGAGAGAGAGAGAGAGAGAGAGAGAGAGAAAGAGGCCATCATCTGAATAAATGCAAATTGCTTCTGCCTCCACCTGGCATCGTGCCAAGTATCTATAGCAACCACATCCTCTGACAGCCTCCATCCACCCCTCCCTCCTTCACTCTCTAATTAGTCCTCTATCTTCACTGGAGCGCTTTTCTTCTGCTGCTTTTTTCTATCACACATTCCCAGGAATCTGTGCACAAAGAGGATGCTTGGAGTTTCATGTCCAGTTCAAAGACAAAACAGATTATCTATAATATAAGACAAAATGCATTTAAATACAATCACAATCAAATTAAATTGGGTTTATTTTATTTTTTGATAAATCTTTATTTTAATGTATTCTGAAACATTCTCTTAACTTTGATAAAGTCAGATGTATTTTTAAACAAGGACGAATTTTCGTTTTCTTTCTGCGTTGGGTTAAATGATGCTGTGTTGTGTTCACGGTCAAGTTCAAATTGTCCATCGAGGCCTCGGGCAAAGACGCAGCACCATCTGACCCAGCTCAGCCTCCCTCAGCTCATAGCGCTGTGCTACACCGCCACCTATCGGCCATATTTGAAACTACAATCTCAGGGGCTCACTTATTCATGTGTATGGAGCTCCCTCCAGCTGTCACTGCACGTCATTACACTCCATGTGTCTACTGTGTGAAAAGACCATAATGTACTGGTATGTAATAGTTTTAATTTACAGTCTATGGAACAGACAGCTTGTTCTTTATCGAGGCTCAGAAGAAACAAAAGAAAAAGATAGAATGAGAGAAGAACAATTATTGACATTAGAATTTAATAAATGCTGCGATGAAAGTACATTATTGGATTAACAGTTCAATCATCAGTTTTTATTCCAATCAGTAAGCCTATGAATTTATACTCACAAATGTTTTCACCAGGATTACAACTCGTTTAAACGCTTTCTTACTATTTCTCAAATGTGAACATTCATGTTTTTATGTTTACATTTTTTAATAATGATTTTTGTGCTTGAGGGGTTATTTTAACATCATTATTGTTTGCTTTTAAATTTTGTGTATATTTTGTCTTAATTTTGAATAAATCCTGTTTTGAATCATTGTTTTTCTACATTTTGGGCCAAATTTATGTTAACACAAAATTGTGTGTTTATTTCTTTTTTTTTTGTAATTACTAAATGTATGATGGATCTGGGTCGAATGTGTTTATGTGACTAGTTCCTAAAGGTTACATCAGATAAATTTCTATACGCTTCTTTTTTATATTCACAGGTTGAAATAAAATGCAAAAGTAAGTCCACCACAAAAAATAATATGTTTTTCTGGAAGATAAGAATGAATAAGATAAAGCATCAATCTGTCATCAACATCCAGTTTTATTAGAGAATGTGATATTTCAAAATGTTCCTACAGATTCACCATCATCAGCAGATACAGGACACACGGTGTGGTTTTTGTTTGCACGTTTACATTCAGTTGGCACAAATCTCAGATTTACAAAACAGCCGTCACACTGACGCTGCACTGAAACAAACAAACACAAGTTGATCTGTTGTAACATGCAAACACAGTATTACTAACAGTATTATGACAGTATTATGTCTGCACATTTATGATGTATCACCCAAAAACAGGATACAAACTATTTATTTTTGCTTTAATAAGAGCAAATCAAAATCACATTTTTGCCAGTTTGTTGTTATAGTGTTCAATGTCGCTCCACATTAAGTCACTCTCAGGTTCTAAAAAAAAAAAAAATCTGTCAAATCAAAAGCATACTATTATTTGGCATTTTACAGATTGTCTGGGTTTTTGTGTCCTTGTTATTGTGAATTTCATCATTTGTTTACCAACCACTTTGATTTTGTAGGCCAAGAGGGAGATATCAATGTTACAATATTGTTAAAGTGTTTCCAATCAGGGTACAAATATAAAATAAAGATGAAACATCCTCTCAAATATTCCTCCACATTCCTCTGATAAGTCCAGGTGTGTTTTGAATGGATTGGTCAAATCTGCGAGGGATCTAAGGAGCATGTCTCTTGCCCTACACGGCAACACCCCTCAAGGCAGTGTTTTAGTTACAGTTTGAAAAAGCTCAAATACAAAAACTGAACCTGAAGTTAAACATTCAGACTCAGAGATTCCTAAAATCCCCAAAACTTTAAACCACCTGAAGACCGTCCTGTCACTTCAAGACTGAAGCAAGGCTAGGAAACGGAAGCAACCTTGAAAAAGGTCGGTAGAAGAAGCTCAGTCATAGTAAAAACATTACTACCCCTCGCTAGGCACTTAGGAGTCAGAAACTCTTTGCTCATCTTTCAGTCACTGAAATCATCTCAGCTACACATATTTCTCTCAGGCAACCTAAGGGGAGCTTATTATATATTACATGATTATTAAAAGACACCATCTTTGTAGTCCACAATGTGTTGTAGTTTCACTGTTTGATGATGAGAATAATATCCGACTGTGTTTCTGTATCAGTCACCAGAGAGCTGCTACAAGTCGCCCGACTCATTCGATAAAGAAAAACAATCATCCATGAACAGACAGGCCGGAGTTAAATAACATGATGTTTGTCAGACTGAGGAAGGTCAGGGGGAGAGTGATGTGCAACAAAATGAAGACAAAGGATTAGAATGGTCAAACTTCACTAATTCTCTGATCAGATGTGAAATCATTTCATTCAGCATTTACTTTTGAAATATGAAAAACATATTCACATGACTAAAAATAGAGGATGAAAAAGTGTACCGCAGGAAACAAAGCTGTGCTCTCAGGTACAGCTAATGGGGATCCTAACAAATAAACAAATGTTCAGTTGATAATGGTTTTCAAATACTAAGGCATCATTTCAGTATTTACACTTTTGAAATCAGCACTGTAAGACGATATATATGCTTTAGTGTTGAAACATTGTTTCATAATGTCTACTTTTATCAAGGTTTCATTTTAGGACAGATATATTCAAATGTTCATTTCTTTACTCAGATCACCCAAAGAGTATTTCTATGAAACTAAAGTGACCTGGACTGACTGTATAAGATAGATTTTGCAAAGAATTTAAACATCATTGATCCAAGATTTAAAGTGTACTGTACTTATTTTTCTTTAAAACATTTTTTAATGTATATTAACTGCCTTGTTTAGAGTCACATGATTAATCACATCAAATTAAATCATAACCACAGATCATGATGCATCCATTGTTGCCAGATTCTAGCCAATATACAGCCCTCATCTGAAAATGACGATATATCCTCTAACAGAAATAATCATCAAATATTTGATTAAATCACGGACTAAAAAAAAAGTATCAACCTATATTTATATAATCTATAACACTTACACATTGCTGATTACAAAAAGTCATAGGTGAAGCCCTTGAGGAGTTTTTGTTTAAATTTGAAAAACTAAACAGGCTTTTGTTTTTGCAGTCTTTCCTTTCACACAGACAACGTCCTGTTTTATTTTGGTTAAAGTGACACTTGTTCCTGCCCTCTGCTCCACTTTGCTCTGCAGCCAGCTGCTCGCTCGACTCAGCCACCCGCCCGCCTCGGCATGTGTGCTCTAACTATAGAAACGTTGACTCTCTTTGAAGACAGTGCGCCTGCATCAACACTGCTGCAAACTCCTCAAACTCAGTGAAATGAAAAGTGAACTAATAGCCACATGTCTGAAACCCCTACAATTATTTAAAAAAAAAAACATTGATATGTTAGCTCTTGATTAGTGTTTGAATATGCACTGAGGTAAATCACAATACTGACCACACAAGAAGTAATACACATTATGCCTCCAACAAAGAAAACTAATTATATCTTCACTATGTGTGCATATTTCCAAACAAGTTAGTCCATCAGCATGAAATGCTACAGCTCTACATCAGATGTATCTGAATGAAAAGTCCATCCTTGTTACAATATCATTTCTAAGATCAGTCAAAATCTCAGCAAGTGCAAAAAAAAAAAAAGAAAACCGCTGCAGCTGCATCACAAACTGCAAAAGGGAAGACCACATTTGTAAACTGTGAATGTGTGTATGTGACTGTGTGTTGGTGCACCTTAAACACCTTTAAAGATATCCTGGAAACCTCTAAAAGATGACACGAGTCAAAGCAGCAACAACTGAAGTTTGTTAACTTCATTAGGTAGTTCTCTCTGTAGGCTTGTTATATTGGATTACGTTACATAGAGATGTCTCTGCTCTTAAACCAGCAGGTATGGTGTCACATTCAGGAAATACTTATTCAAATAGCTTGATGAAGGTTTCGTAGGTCCGTCTGTCATATGCAGCTAAACTGAAAGATTCTCAACAAGGACAAACGTCTCACTGCGTCAAATCTGTTTGATCTGTTTGTATTAATACTTCAGAGATCGAATTTGTCCATCATATTGAAAAAACAGTTACATAACTACAAAAACAAACAAGTTCATCTCTTTAAACTTGACATCTGTTGGCACTGGCATCAAACATAGCTCATGTGTCTGCTGTCAGCACAGAAACTAAACAACAAAAGTCTGATCCACTATTATACTGAACGTAGAAGTGATGTCAATGTATTCCACTGCAACAAAAACTGAACGTTTGACCACATGATCAAACCCCATCAACATCAGCAAACATGGTGCTGATGTTGTCTGTGCCGGGCAATAGTTTTGCTCTAAAGCCATACTTCTGCGCTTTAATATACAAACATTATATAATCTAATATACAACTAGCTTGACTTCTAACCTTTGGTACAATTCCTTAAAAACAAACTCCCTAAAAAAGCAAAAACAAATCTCAATGGGCCAAATGTACTCTTCTTAAATCAAATGCATCATACATTTCTTCAAGTGGCAACATTGCATTGTCAGTTTTAGGCAGACACACACGGGCAGTAGGGAGACCTGTGTGTGTATAGTGTGTGTGTGTGTGTGTGTGTGTGTGTGTGTGTGTGTGTGTGTATGGTGTGTGTGTGAGAACCCTCTTATTGACAAAAACTCTCACAGGCAGGCTTTGTTAGGACAGAAGTGTTGTAACTTATGTGTACACACATTAAATCACGGAGCATATTGCACTTAGATGTACATGACAACAGTGTGTACAGGTCCTCAATACCATCCAGCAAACCTCCCGCCTACAGGGGTGTGATGCAACCCATGTTAAACGCAAATAAGCGAGAGAATACACTAATATTACCCTCGCATCCTGAGCCATTGTGTTTACGTCTATCCAACAACACACTTGTCACTCTCTACCTCCTGTGCTTCTGTGCAGTGGCAGTTCAGGGACCTTCTCATCCCACGGCCCCTCCCTGTTCTCCCCTCGGTATCGATATTATCGGTTGGTGTAGCCCATCTGATGCAGCTTCCTCAGGAGGATCTGAGTGAGGTCGAACGTGGTGAAGCTGATCCCCACCGCGATGGGCCCTTTGACCCAGTTCATGCTGAGACCTTTGTAGAGTCCGCGGATAACCCCCTCCTCAGCCACAATCTCCCTCATGGTGCCCAGGATCGTACCGTACGTGTGACCTGTGACTCCAGCGGTCTGCATCCTGCGTCGGACCACATCCAGAGGGTAGGAGGCCGACTGGCCGATGAGACCCGCGCAGGCTCCAAATGCCAGACGCTCGTAGGAGTAGGGCTGCAGACGCCCACTGCGCTCTACAGAGAGCGAGAGAGAGACACAACACTCCATGAACAAGCATTTAACAGATGTGCAATATAAACAACTGTTTTTAAAGAAAAGGAGTTGAAGATGAACACACAGATACATTTGAACTCACCTGCATGTACTTTCTTCAGTGTCTCATAGGTGAAGAAGCTGAGACCAGCATAGGGTACAACACCGAGGATGGTGGGAGTAAAGCCTCGATACAAAGTCTTCAGACCCTCTTCTCGAGATATCCGCACAAACACGTGAAGAATGTTACCATACCTAAAACAGTGGAAACACCATAAACAAAAAAAGACCAAAACACAAACAATGTCTTTTCTTATTCTGTGATCGCTGTGCAACTATTTAAATCTTCATGCACTTAATGAAGCCGCTTCAAAGTCTTCCACTTGCAACAATGTTCATTTCCAGTCTTTTAGTTTCTACTGTGAATATACTGTCATCATAGCTAGGACTCTGTTTCTTCATCCACAAATTGGATAGGTTGTAAATATAACACTTCAACTTCTGCAGGGTCTTTTTTGTGTCGTGTCCTGCCTCCTGTTCAAAAGGGAAAATCTTCAGCTGTGATGGCCATGTGTGAAAGAGCAACTCAGAGCAGGGGCAAGCTGTCCTGAACATTTCTAGACATTTGTAGGGGTTCATGTGTTTAAAGGGCTAGAGGGAAACTGCTGTTGACAGTGGAAGCCAAAGATGAACTTACATTTCCTTTGGTGTTACAGCCATCCTAGCTCGCACCATGTCCAGAGGATAGGTCAACATGGCCGCCGTGGTACCAGCCATAGAGCCTGCCAGTAACCTTGGAAATGGAGGTAGAGCTCTGAAAAATCAAGAGAAACAGTCGTGTTTACATCAGCCTTTATCTTTAGTTCATTAAAAAACAATAGTCTTAAGATGTGCCAGCAGACTTGAGTAGAAGGCGTCAACCGCCATAATCTGACACTTACTTTCCCTGAAAGCCGTAGTAACCTCCAAGCAGCCCCTTGTACTGCTCGTGTGCACAGAACTGGATGGCAGCGTACGGGATGACTCGCACCATGGTGGCAGAGTTCCCCCTCCACAGACTAATGAAGCCATCTTTCAGGTAGGTGCGGTAGATCAACCTGTAGGCCTCCTATGATTCATTGTAGAAAGACATTCTCATACTCAGATATTAAAATCAATAAGCGTAGACACTAAGAATAAATATAAGATCAACAAACCTTGGCTGAGAATCTTGCTGAAGACACTGGAAAACAAAACATGAAAAATGTATATTTTCACACAGCTATGTATTGCAGATCAACAAAACAGAAATGCTACATATTATTTCTAATTGGATCTATGTGTGCCATTCCTATTCTTAAAACAGATTCCACTTTTAGGTCAGCAGAGTCTCCAATTTACCTTGGAAGATGATTTTTGTCCTGTCTAATGGGGCGACGGCCGTCTTGGCCAAAGCTCCTGCTAAAGCCCCGGAGAAGAGCGAGTTGACGACAGAGTGAGTTTGTTTGAGACTCTGAAGAGAGAAGGAAAAAAACAAAAATCACATTTAAGGTCATCAACAACAACCGAGACAATCCTGTAAAAACTGTTTCCTGCCATGAACAAAGTTGTGTTTGAGATACTGTTGATAATTAAACCAGAGTTAAGTAAGAATACATCAGAAGTTCCATCACAGAGGGAGAGCAGTTGTCCTTAAATGAAGGAGTGATAAAAGGCAACAGATCAGTTTAGCTCTTCCATACACACAACGAGAGCATGAAACCAGTCTGATAGCACTCACACAATGTCAGCCATGCCACTACAAACCTGCCTGTGTTTTATCAGATAGGACTGTGTCAAAATTACAAGTGTTCTTCACTGAAGTACAACTTTATTAATCCCTCTAGGGGCAATAGGTTTGGAGCGACTTGGACATTAAAGACATTAATGAACACAGGAATGTGATAGACACAAATAAATGATGTGTAAGAGAGATAAAAAAAAAAACATGATAGGATCTTAAAAGACTACTTCTATGAAACAGACTAACAAACAACTGAATTAAACAATAAAGGGATCAGTCTTGATTAAGGGATTAAAAAGTCCATAAAGAAATGTAAAAACCTAAGGGTCATTTGTACTCTGATTGCTGAGGGGATGAACAATTTTCAAAAGTAATCACTTTAACAAACAGGTCAAACGTAATGACGTCCTGAAAGCAATGGAGAAAGTTCCCTTTAAAGAACATAACACAGCTAAAATCATTTCAGCATTCAGAAGTATATGGTGCTAACAAAAGGATTTCAGATACTTGAGTATAACATGACTGTAGTAAAAGTTAAAGTACTGATTTCATTTATTTAACAAACTTAAAGTGGAATGTGAATGTATTAGAGAAAAACGTAGACCTCGGAAGAAGTTTTCTAATGGCTGTATCTGTGGACAGCTAAACAGAACTTCACGTCATAACTGGGAGATGATTCAAGTTTAATCATTCTTCAAATTTAATGAAGATTATCATTTATTTAAAAATAACAGACATTAACTTTTGCTGTAATGTGCAAATCATTTGTATGGAGAATGTCCTGCAGCTCTGTATCTACAGTATGTTAGCTGGTCTTTAAAAATAATTCTCCTCCTCGTGCAAAAGCTAAAGTAACAAGCCTAGTGTGCAAACAGGTAACAGAGTAAAGGGTACATAAAGTACATGCAACAGACAAGTTAATTACAGATGCCTACAAATTCTAGTTCCTAGTTGCTAGAACAGCACTGTAATGATGTGTCCATATACTAGTGTAGCTAAGTCAAAAATAACAAACCTCTCTGTATCAGTAACTCATCAGCTTAGCTACCACCAAGAGACTCACACATCCCAAGAAAATATACACACACACCTACCTCTTCCTCAAGCTCTCCACCAATCACACACATGACAACCTGCATGGAACACCTTCATAACCACAGCTGTGTTTTGAGAGGTCAAAAGTCTGGCTGTGCTGTCAATCTTACACATTAACTGACATTAGGGAGAACTCAGTAACGGACATAACAGTCGTTATCTAAACTAACACAGCAGTTAACAAACATGCAATCTGATCCGTTACACTATGTTATTTCCCTCCTCTGCACACTGAATATAAATAGAGCGAGTGCTCACTTTGCATGATGTGTTTCTCTTAGGAGGCGCTAACCACAAAGATAAACAGGATGACTGTTATACTGTTATATTCTATTATATTTTAGTGATCATAACTAAAGTGACTCTTGTGTGGCCAATTGGCCTACAGCTGACAAGAGTTGACAAGTTATATTCTGATGTCCCAAGATGTGCTCAAGTATTCACTCTAAGTTGATCAGCTTTGTTATTTTTATCTTCATATGAAAGATGATTGAATTTCACTGATTAAAACGGAGCGAAAGTGATTTACCTCAAAGCTGGACTCTGACTGATTGGAGGAGGCAACTGGCAGCACATCTCCCCGTGTGAGTGATGCCCGTTGTTCCTGGACTCCATTACCCATTCCCGAGGACTAAGCACGGCTATCACTATGCGCACTCATGAATTCAACCACCAGAGGGGAGGGGGTTTGGGTGGGGGGGAGCAGCACCAGGCGCTGAAAGCTACACAGGAGAGAGAGAGAGAGAGGTCAGAGGGATAAATAGAGGTCAGTTTAAGGTTAAAATATGTCCTAAATGTAAAACAGACAGAACATTTGGGCGGCTCAGCTTCTTCCCTTTGTCAGGGTCAAATGTCAAGCATGACTCTGACTTTCTGAGGATTAGCCATGCAAATATTTATTATTAAACACATTTCAGATTTCTGAGATTTATTTTGGAAATCACCGTGTGGTCATCAAAGTATTCAAGTTTAGCACGTTGGTAACCTATGAACCAAGAAGTCTATTCTAGTTGTGGCAGTCACCTGACCAAGGCTGCTTATCTTCAAACAAGAAACTATAAATACAACATGTACCTATACTAAACAGTTGCCTGGAGGATAATCCAGTTACCTTTAATCTTTAAAGGTGTACGTCTGAGACCCTCCCTTACGAACAAACCAGATAGCCACGTCTGGTCATGTTAGTGTTAGCTCCATAGTCAATAAAAACTCAATTAAAATCATTTTTAAAGGGTGACCACAAGCTAAAAATGTTGTAAGCGAATAATTTTACAGGACAAACCTTCAACCTTTCACAGGAACACAGGTTTTGCATTTAAATAGTGCACAACTTTCACAGTCGTGCAAGGACCTAACCAGCTTTACTATAATTCATAATCACAACGCCAAAGTTGTCAGATATATACCTTAATTGTATAGGAGAATAGGTCATAGGGGCAAATGTGTGTATTGTTGGGTTACATTGATTATTTTAATGACTGACTAACTTTCTTTTTTTTTTCACGATTCAGCGGAAACAGTGACAGATTCCATGGTGTTACATAATCAATCAATGATTGAAAATATTTCAAATCAAGTTTAGGGCTAGGATTTGTTTCAGGAGAGATATTTATAAGATTATAAAGTTTGATTTTTTGATTTTCTATTTTTGATACGATTGTTTTTCTGGATTTGTAAGTATGGATAATAAGCAATTAATAAATTATCAGAGATATTATGATTACTAACACTGTCATACAACACATCCTCTTGCAACTTACTATAAAACAAGTAAAAACTGATTTTTGGTATACTAGTATACATTTTTGAGTTTTAAAACCCTGTAATGACAGATTGTCATTGTCACGACCAAGATAATGACAGAAACATTTAACATTTGAATAATAAGCTGTCCTCATACTCTGAAAACTAACAGAACATCTAAACCAATTCATCTGAACAACTGAAACTGTGTGAAGCAGAGAACAAACAGTGGATCATGAAGATACTCAGTGTACATTTTATGGCCTTTTGGTTAACATGTGACAAACAAATCAATAAATTGAAGCAAAGTCATTGATCTGTTTATCTTTTCCTCAATTGATGTTTTAGACATTTCATGATCTGAATAATCCCCTAGATGATGCTTTGCAGTCCTGAATAGATTTAGGCAAAATGGAGAGAGCGCTCAATGGGACAGGAGAGCAAACAGAGGGTCTGTTGAAAAGCTGGGTAGTCAAGGGCAACTAATACTGGCATCAGTACAACAGGGCTTAAAGCCAGATCCTCAAATGAGCACCCCTAATGGGTCCCTCTTTCACTGTCCCTACATACAGTTCCATGTCCTTCCCATCAGCCTTCTTTCCCAGACATATCACTTTACACTTCCTTATTCCCTGCAGCTTACACGATATGTTTGGTGTGCCTCAACATCCCAACTTGTCATCCATGATCCAATTTCAAAGTGTCCTGTCATGCTTGTGCCATATATACTCTACAATTGAAGATGAGTCTCCCTCTGCATGTGATTCCTCCCTCTCCTTGTTTTCTTAGCTCCTAGGTTTGTCTCACTAGCCAATACTTATACAGCATTGTATCCCCTGTGTAATCATTTAAATAGCTTGTGATATTATTCGTATTTATATCACTCATGATTCACTGGCACTGCACACACACACACCGGACTATGTTTCTTTCAAATTCATAAAAATAACCACGAAGTCCCTCCAGTCTTGTCAAAACTTGTCCACATACAAACACAGCCACGCTGTCACTCGGTACAGACACGTCATTTCTTACCTTGTGAACTTAACACCTGCTCGGAGATTTCTAAAGCTTTGGTATTCCTCACTTGGTTTGTTGCAGGCTCTTCAGAAACTGTTTCTAACTTAGCAAAACAACAGGTCATGTAACGTTAGCCACCTAGCTGTTACCTAGCTTACTGCTACATATCGTTTTAGTTAGCGCAGTATTGTAAATATTAATGTTATGAGTCTTGATATAAAATTGTATCTTGTTGTCAAAGGCACTGTCTTCTCAGATGCAGGAAACCTGCAGTGACTTGATGTGTACAGGCAGCATTCATGCTGTTGTACTCCTGTCAACGACGATAGCTTGACCACAGTGAGGTCTGACAAGGACGCGCGCGAAGCATTGTGGGAAATGTAGTCTAAGCCATGAGGAGCATGTTTCGGATAGGTCGGACAGAGGGGTGTACACTTGAAGGGCGTGAACAGAAATTACTTTGGGCGGTGACTTGGTTTATCACATACACCAGGGATGGGGCAACTTTGGTCACAGCAAGGGGCCACATTCATTTAATTCTCACTGCCAGGGGGCCAAATTGTAGGAAACAAAAACGATTACAGTCAATTTTGTCCCGAATTTAACTCAACATATGCCAGTGATCAAATATTATGGACATATTTCTGGTTTTCATGATTTCATGGCAGATTTAGTCATGTTTTCTTCATGCTTCATGTTCCCGATTAATTGATGTGTAAAAATTGACATGAGGGCCACGTTGAGGGTTGATGGGGGCCGCATGTGGCCCCCGGGCCACCAGTTGCCCACCCCTGACGTAGACTGTATATACTCAACAGTCTGTTTGTTACAGTATTGGGATTTTATGTTTTTTTTGTCTTGTCCGTAGAGTATACTGGGAATAGTTCGAAGAGGATCTGAACAGTTACTGCGTTTCACGAGAACCACACACACACTGCAAGATAAAAGTGAATCTAAGTGAGTTTATCAAAAAGGTTGTGAAGTTCTTAATGACAGATTTTCACATATTTATTTTCACATAATATTTTTCACATCGGACACAGTAATAAAGTTGTATAAAGTAATGTAGTTGAATTTGAATAGATATTGAATAAAGCATTCAATACATTTTAAAATCTGGCTAAGAGTACAGACTGGGCATGGGAAAGCAATTTGCACAAAAGAAGTACAGTTGAATTATTTGCATAGCAGCAAATATACCTATATTTACCCATGGCACACTACCAAAACACAATAATAAAAAATAGCATCAACAAAATATTAACATCTAAAAAAAACAAGTACGCTGCACTCACGTTACCCTATTGTCCTGATCAAAAACAAAAAAAAAAGGACTGGAAAGTATATTCAACCTTTCAAAGGGGCTGTGTGGGACTGATGATTTTCTCACAAGTCTTCTAAACATCTACGTTTTGTTTTGTTTTACAAATATCTCTAGCTAAGACGTTGCATCTGCTCAAACATTGGGCTATGTATTCCAACATCATTACATTTCGTCTTGCCTAACTTTGCCTTTAAGTTCCATTCATGGTATAGATGTACATTTTTCAGCGATGTTCTCTACTTCAGTTTGTGAGGCTGCCATGTTTGCCGGTCCACAGTTCTCGGAACTCCACCTGGCATCCCAGATCTCTGAGGGCTGCTTTACCCACATCAGCACAATCTTGATGGGTCTGCAGCGCCTTAGCGATCAGTGCTTCTGCTCCCATCTCCAGGATTGGTTGGCTGTAATTTTGCGTCCGTGAAACCAAGTTTCTTATCAACATACACGCCCATTTCTGTTTATAAAGGGAAAAAAAACAGGGACATGGGAAAGCTGTCAGACTGGCACACAGCCTGCTTTTTAGAGTAATCCATTAATTATTAACAACCTCATATTACCTGCACATTGACTGAATCAGTATGTGTTTTCATGGCCTGCACGGCTGCCAAGGCACCTCCATTCTCCATGATGACTTTGCAGTTGTCTGGTTTGCGTAAAGCAAGGACAGACAGGCATGCACAGCCCTGCTCACACACCTAAGCAGACGAGGAGCAGAACCTTAATAAATATGCTTAAATTATTCATTACTCAAAGGTATTTTTTTGGGTTTTTTTTTTTAATCTATGTATAATGACATTTTTTTTTACTTCATCTCTAGTAAATGTTTCACCAAACCTAGTAATAGTCAATTCATGTGAACATTTGACGTTAAACTCACAGCCGAGTTGCTCATGTGTCTGTTCATGGCAATTACAATAAACTGGACTCCACCAGCATTTACAACAGCATCCTTCACATCATCATTTCCTGCCACGGCTCGTATTGCACTCAGGACCTGCCGAACCAACTCCTGAAAAAATAAAGTAAGTTTATTGAGCACGTTAAACATGAAAGTTTGTATCCAAATCCTTTGATTTAAAGTTTGCTACCTGTGATTCGTAGCTGTCCGCAAGCAGCGTCATCATGAGTTTCAACCCTCCCAGATCACAGATGTCTTGGCAGAACTCGTTCCTCACAGCCAGACGAGACAGAGTGTTACACAGCTCACTCAGAACAGAAGTATCCCCAAGATGAGCTGTGAGGGAGGAACACAGAAAAGAAAGAATTTCATAAAGGAAACCAGAAAGAGGTTGAATCTAGTTCAAAAGAAGCTGAAGTTAATTACCTGCTAGACTCACCTTTTGCAGCCTCTATTAAAACCTTCAGTCCTTTGTGCTCCAGAACTATCATCTTGGCGTGCTCGTGAGCATGCCCAAATGTAACGCGCACATCATCGTCAAAGGTCATGACCCTGAGAGCTGCACAGGCCTCTTTGACCAGCACCGCACGTCCACCATGTCGTGTAGCAGCATCAGTCAGCAGAGGAAGGATGTTGCCTTTCACTAAATCCTGCCTGTTCTGTTCATGTTTCAAACAGCAGTGACGTACAGTGCGAATAGCTACTAATGTCACTGAGGAGTCTGCCTGGTACTTCTTGAGGACATCCAAAAGGAGCCGTTGACCCTCTGCATCCAACAGGTCAGGCTGTCCATCTGTCAGTGCAGCCAGCGCAGACAGGGCGGTCAAAATAGCTTCCTGGTCCTCCACACTCTTTTTGCAGTAAGAGAGGATGACAGGGTAGGCATCTTTCTGAGCGGCTAGGTACCTCTGGGCAAATCCAAGTGAGCATTGCTCAGTGAAGTGTTTTAAGTCTGCTGTGACACTGGCAGTGTCTTCTCCAGTTCGGAGGGAATCTAAAGCCTGCAAATGAAGAATGACATGTACAGATGTTACACCTACACAGAGTTAGAGCTATTACAGTTAAAAGAGCAGACTGTTTTTGCCGAACGGCTTAAGTTTTACCTGCAAGACTTTGTGTGTTTTCTCCTCTTGTTTGTCTTCAGATGACACCGTTGGAACAGCTTTTACTATACAACTGAGGTCCACACCTGAATCCACACACAAGATCGAGGTTAAAACAACTAAATGAATGGAGATAAGGTTACAGATAAATGCAGTCACACAAGTGAAACACAAGAAGAGTGTAAAAAAATAAATATTGACAAATTTTGAGGATGGCAACTGGGAGTGTACCACTGCATACTGAGGAGGATGGCAAATCAATATGCAAGAAAGCAAAGATGGTCCTTAACCTTTCAGCTATAGTGAAGCCTTTCTTTATGTGTGAGCTATTAGGCCATTATTCAAACAGAACCAGCAATAGTGGCAGGGAGATGTAGCACTCTGTAAGGTGAACAAAATATCTTTGAGCATTATTCCAATACAAATAGCAACAATAAGGCAGCATGGCTTGTCAGGAGAGGCCTTTCTACTCAATAATGATGAACGATTTTGAAGGTTTTAAGTAACTGGAGCCTCTGTGGTCGGGCAGTCAATCATTTCATATTACACAAATGCAAAGCACAGATAGACATACTGATGTTTCACATTTGATGCCATACGTGTGCAGTTGGCTTGACTGTATCGCCACAGAGTATTTCCTAGTTCGCTTTATTACCTTGAGACTCAAACTGCCCCACAGCCTCCATTAAAGCCTCCTCAGGATCCATCTCAAACTCCTCCATGTTTTCCCTGACAGCAGCATCAAAGGTTTCCTGTGTGATCCTCCGCTTCGCCATTTTCGACACGTTAATTTCTCCAGTCTGGAAATAAATATGGGATAATCATGAGACACATCGACTGCATTCATCATCCTTGATGGTCTTGTAATTTCACAGCCATTGTTAGCTCCGATACGCTCCGTTTCCTCTCTTTTAGGACAGTTTAAAATGTGAAAGCTAAATAAAGCTGCCTAGGACTTATTTCACTTCACAGTAAACATCTGTACAAAAAAACGAGTAATATCACTTAACTGTTACGCCCAGCGACTATCTGCTCATCTGTTAGAAATGAACCGACCACCGCTGTCGTTTTACGCACTTTCCGTAAGTGGCCGTGCAGCTGTAAACAACGTCAGGGCGTGAATTGTGCGGAACAAGTTAAGAGAATATCAAACTGTGCAATATGGGTGCCACAAAGACATTATCTCGGTTGGTACATAAACTGTGAGACATTAGTTCCACCCTGAAACAGATGGCTTTATTACATTAAACATTGCATGTGGAGAAATGTTGTTATTATTGTCTAGATAAGGGCGCGAGAAGGAGGGAGCCGATACGTGATTAATTATTTTTTTTTTTTACGTGTTTTATTTGGACGACTTCCCCTTCACAATAAAAGAGGCTTTGAGACACTTTGTAACTCTGTAATATTTACAGTCTATGTTTGTAACGTTGCCTTTGTCTATGGAAGCGATTAGTGATCAAAATTAAAATGATAAAGCCATTTTTTTATGTATGGATTATGAATTATGTCATACAATATGCATACATAGAGAGCAAAAGTAAAATGCAAACTGGATGACTGAATATTAATTTCAAATATAGGTCATATAATGCACCTATAATCTGAAAATTAAAACGTGTTTCTTTTACTGTATTTTCATTTTAAAATTAGCTTTTTCATTTGAATTATGGTACAAATTTTTTGAAAACGATAAAGCAAATGTAATTTTCTTCTTAATTTTAATTTAGTCAAAGAATGTGCATTTTCGAAGTTGAAAACTAAAATTCAAATTAGATAAATTAATCATAATTTTATTTTTGAGTCAAATAATACAGTCATATTCTGAAAATTAAAAAGCATTTCTGTTAATGCATTTGAATTTTCAAATTAGCTTTATCATTTGAATTTTGATCACTAATCGCTTCCATATTTGTCGTCTCTGATGGGAATATTGTCAAATATACCTTTAACGATATGTGACACTTTACTGTCCCTATGGGACTTGGACTCACAGTACTGCAAACATTCAGCTGCTTCCATTA